GCCCGCGCATGCGCCCCAGCGCCCCGCTACTGTTTGGCCGTTTCCATGGCTACGCATCCGCTCCCAGTGGGGTCCGGGACCGAGAAAATGAAGCTCAAGAGCCTCCTGCTCCGTTATTACCCTCCAGGTAGGGGCGGGACGCGCTCCGCCCTCGCGGGACCCGGCTCCCGCACCCGCACCCACACCCAGCGCGCGTGTGCGGTGAGGAGGGTGCGGGCACCCGGAGGGCGCCGCTGCAGAGCAAGGGGATCCCAGGGGGACGGGAAGCGGGGCGCTGCTGGACTCTGTTCCTCAAAACTTTTAAAAAGCCTCGTGGGAAGTCTTTAGGCTTTTAAGCTGCTGAGCTCCTCTCCGCCGAGTTGGGGGGTGCGGAGGCAGAGCCGGGATGGGTGGTGCCCTGGCCTTTGCGTTCTGCCCCGACAAGCGCCACCCTGGGCTTATTTTAAACACATCAGAGCGGGCAAGTCAGGGCGTGCCGAGAATGGAAAGACACGTGTCTCACCTCAGTGACAGTTTTCCAGCCCGCGCGTGCCCACCGATGGCTCGTTCACGGAGGGCCCGCGGCAGGTGCCCTGCGCCCCCCGCCCAGCCTTCCAGCGGGTCTCAGGCCGCTTCCAGTGCGCCACGGCCCTTGTGCAATAGCGCCCAGAACACTACGGTGTCCCTCGGATGTACTTGTCTAGGTCTCTTGTTCCCTAGGTGAGGCCAGGGTCGCCTTTACAGAACATTTGAAGTCCCCTGGTCACCCAGCTTGTGAGGGCCAGAGAGAGGAGCAGAACTCCTGGCTTCTAATTCAGAACTGACTTTAAGAAAAATGTTAAGTAAAAAGTCTGAAAAACTCGCCACAAGGCTGTAGATGACCCCATATGCTCGCCCAGTGTTAAGGTCAGGTCTTCCGGCAAGAGTGGGCCTGCACAGCGACTTTGTCCAGTGTGAAGTCAACATTAGTGGTAGAGACGCTGGCTTTCTCCCGCCTAGAATTCCAATCAAAATGCCGGGAGAAGGCCCTAGACATGAGGGGGAGTCTATGGGAAATTTTAAGTTAAGATGAATGGCTTGTTTTCCCTAAGCGTTCCACAACCTTACGTTGGCTGTGCTTGCGCTAGTCTGGGGCTGGTTCCCATAAATAGAATGATAAATGAATGTCTTGCTTTTATTTCTTTGCTGTGGCATGTAGGTCACGGATGTGAGCTCTGGGATCGTAAGTACTCTCAGCATGAAAAAATGTAGCAACTTGGGAAGTTTGTTTTGATCTGTCGAGCTGTCGATGGTGATGATGGTGCCCATCTCCCAGGTCTGCTGGCCCTTCCCAGCTGCTCCCCCATTTATCTCCCTCCCTTCAGAGAACGTTGTCTCCAATTTCTCTTCTCCCTTCGGTCTTGAACATATTCCTATCACGCGTTCAGCCCCATTGCTCCACTGCAACTGCCCTTTTCACAATCCCCAATGACCTCCAACACGCCCGAAAATCCCCGGCCTTATCTTGGTCCGTGTCTATTTTGACCTCACAGCAGAATTTGGCCCATTTGCTCATCCTGTCGTCCTTTGGCTTCCAGGACACGCTACTTTATCTCCTGCCTCATTGTCACTCCTTCTTGGTCCATCTTGTTGACTTCTCTTTTTTCCTGATCTTAAGGTTGGAGTATCCCAGAGCTCCGACTTGGATTTCTCTTGTGTCTACTCATTGGCTACATGATCTCATCTATTCTCAAAGCTTGAAAACCATCCTGAGTAGTCCTGAGTACCTCTCTGCCTGCTTGATTCTTCATTGAGATGTCCAATGTGCATCGTACACGGGCCTCTTCTGGTCGTCTTTACCTAAATCAGTGGCAGCTCCATTTCTCCATATTTGGTCCAGTAACAAACCCTGCCAGCTCACCTTCCAAGTACATATAGCCATTCACGGCTTCACGATGGGATACATTCTGAGAAATGCGTCCTTAGGCCAATTCGTCGCTGTGTGAACATCACAGAGTGCACTTTCACAAACCTGGATGGCCTAGCCTACTGCACCCCGAGGCTGTATGGGATAGCCTATTGCTCCCAGGCTACAGCCTTCCTAGCATCTTACTATACACAACAACACAAGTTTAAATCAAGCTCAGGAGGAAATGATGCCGTCAAGAAACGCCGTAAACACAGATGTATGAAGCTGCTGCTGGCATAACACAGCATGCTGTTTCACAGCAAACATTTTACATACATAGAAAGAGTACATTCTAAAGTAACAATAAATAATACAGTCAATACATAAGCCAGTAACAGTCACTTATTACCATTATCAAGTATTATGCACTGTGCATACTTGTGCATGCTGCACTTTCATAGCACCAGCATCACCACAAACACTGCCACAGTGCTACAATGGCTATGACGTCAGTAGGCAATAGGAACTTTTCAGCTCCACTGTAATCCTATGGGACCACCATCGTATATGTGGTCTGTTGATTACTGAAACATTATTACGCGGCACACGACTGGACAGAATTGGGCAACTTCTCCCCACCACCATGGCTGACATTCCCTCTATTGCTAGAGTCTCTTGCCTTGCCCCGCTTTGGTCTGTTTTGAACACAGCAGCGGAGTGACTCTATTAGAACCGGAATCCGATCATGTCACTCTTTGGCCCTCTGACGGCTTTTCATTTCTCCTGAAGTAAAGGCCCACGATCTCTGAGGCTCCGATCTCCAAGGCCCTTCGGGATCGTCCCCCGCCTTTGCCCCCCTGAATTCACCCTGCTTCCGGATCCAGCGGCGCTACTTTCGTTGGATGGGCCTGTTGTGCCCCCACTCAGCATCTCTGTAGTTGCTGTTATTTTATTACTTATTTATTTAGCCTGGAATCAGCTTTCCCTGGACATTGCACAGCCAGCTTTCTCACCCTTTTTTTTTTTTTTTTTTTTTTTTTT